AGTGTGTGTTGCTGCCAAGTGTTGTAGAATACACTCAGATTCTTTAAGTAACATTCTACATGCAAATTTTGCCTGTGAACTAAGCCGTTCATCAAAGAAATAGGTCATTTTAAAAAGTCACAGCTGTGTTTCTTATTTTCCTTGTTTCATGTTGATTAAGTTGCAGCACCTCAAATTAAGTTGGAAAATATAGTCTCAAGTAATGACTATTGTGGTTAATCTGGCTCCTTGGCAAAGGAATAGGAATAGTGTTCCCATTCCAGTGAGACATCATAAAATTATAAACATGAAAATATCACCTTATTTTCCAATTATAGAGGACCAAAAGCATATATTTCTACATTTATAGCTTTGTTTTTCATATTGTATTCTTTTTACAGCGCTGAATATTTTCCATGTGATTAAGACTCAGAATTTTTATTTCGTAGCATTTTTATTAGACACTTGATAAAGCTTTTGGTCTGTGTAATGAATATTTTAAAAGTAATCTGTGGCTTTATTAAGTGCCTAGTGGCAAATGCTTAAGAATAAAGGCAACTTTTTATGTCTTTTTTTTTCCTGATCTACATTTTAATTCATTACAAACTTAAAAATAATTTAAGTTGGTAAAGATTTATTTTTAGTTGTGTGTAAAGGAAAATAAAAATGCAGGACCATGAGAAGTTTGATGTGACTGCAGATAGGGGGGTTAAGCCAAAGGGAAGGTCAGTTTTCATGCAAAAGGATTTTGAAGTTCTAGGTCAGTAATCAACCCACAGGAATTGTATGAAGATTAAAGTAATGAGAAGGTAATATATGATCAAACTTCATCAGATAATTTAATAATAAACAAGTCACCAGGGAAGAAATCCACACCAACATACCCAAAATGCCAAATAACAACAATCAAAAGCAAACACAACAACCCAACCAACCTCACAAAAAACCTCAACCCAAAACAGCAACAGCAGAAACCTGCAGCCCATCTTGGATGCAGCTGTAGTGGTTCCCTCCCTGTTTAATTGCTGTTGGCCTGTGGGGTTCAATCCAGTGCTTTGCATGGCCTGGATATGGGATAAAGGAGCCATCTACAAGGTGAATGTGATTTTATCACAGTGAAGCAGAAAGGTTTGTGTGGTCAAATGGACCCTGTGTAATTTAGCTGAGAGAAAGGCAATTTATTATACTACAGATTTGACTACATGTGATCTGCTGATACTCCCAAAGGGCAGAAGTGCAGGTGAGCCTGAGCTGTTCAGGCATGTTGAGGCTGTGCACTGGTGGTAGCTCTGTCCTTCCTGCTGTGCATCCCTCTCATATTTTTGTGTTAGGACTCTGTGCAGTGGAAGTATTAAAGTTGTTCTGCATTATAATGCAAACATTACCTATCTACTGGAATTAAGTCCTAAAGAGCACAGCTTGTACAGTGGGACAAAGATCTCCAGCATCTGTTTATGTTAAGCAGTTGGTTCTGCTGCTGTTGAAGGCTAGAGAGCAGCAGCTGACTAATGCCTTGGTTCTGGAAGCTGTTGGAGTTGCTGTTAATGGGAATACAGTTTGTAATGTTTTTCAAGTGCATTGTTGAATAATTACAACTTTGAGCACATCTGCCTAAGTCATACTTACGTATGATTTGTTAAAATAGCTTACTTTGAAGTTCTGTTAGATTACTGCAAAGGGAGGGGGAAAACCTTGTCCTGTTAACATGCTGAAGTTTCGCTGTTCTGCCAGGAAAGTTATGTCTTCGCTAAGCAAAACAAACTACTTCAAAAGGAATGTTGAAGGATAGAGAGAGATTTTTACAACAGTGTAGTGGTTTTGCATGGCCAGGTTTTGGCAGTGGGGGGGATACAGGGGTGGCTTCTGTGAGAAGCTGCTAGAAGCTTCCCCATGTCCTGCCGAGCTCCAGTGGCAAGGCTGAGCCAATCAGTGGTGATAGTAAAACCTTTAGGATAACATACTTAAGAAAGGAAACAAGTTATTGCACAGAGGTAAGTGGGGCCAGAGGAGTTGAGAGTATGTGAGAGGAACAACTCTGCAGACGCCAAGGTCAGTGCAGAAGGAGGGGAAAAGGTACTCCAAGGAGCTGAGGATCCCCTACAGCCTGTGGTGAAGACCATGGTGAAGCAGCTGTGCCCCTGCAGCCCATGGAGTTAACAGGGTGCAGAGATTCACCTGCAGCCCATGGGGGAGACCCACACCAGGGCAGAGGGATTCCCACAGGAGGCTGTGAACCCATGGGGAGCCCTTGCTGAAGCAAGTTCTGGCAGGGACCTGTAGAGAGAAGAGGTAGAGTTGGGAAGGAGAGGGGTTGAGAGGGAATGTGCTTTTAAGGTCTGCTTTACTTTTTTTTAGTATTAAAATCACTTAATTTCCCCACATTGAGTCTGTTTTGCCCGTGACAGTATTTGGTGAGTGATTTCTCCCTGTCCTTAATTCACAAACCTTTCAATATATTTTCTCTACCCTGTCCATGTGCAGAGGGGAGTGAGAGAGCAACTTTTGTGAGTGCCTGGCATCCAGCCAGGGTCAACTTGCTATGAGCAGTTAAACTCTTAGTTTTGCAGGTCAGTCTTGAGTTATGAACAGCTTCTTAAGATGTCATGTGCTACCCCTGGAATTACTGTGGTCTTGGATCTTGCCCCAGGTAATCCACTGTAACTGGGATGTAGCTAAAATGTTCATCAAGGGACAATTTCTCTAGCCTTACTGTGCAATAATAGAGTAACTCCACTACTGCAGAGTACCTGTCATACCTCACTTATTCCAATAAAGGTCATCCCCCATTCCACAAAAGTCCTTGAGGCCATTTTGGGTATTGTCTTACCTCAGTTCAAGAATATTTCAAAGCATCTTGTGCCTTTCTGCAATTGAAGCATTTCATCATGGGAACACTCACTTCTCTTTGATTTTGCCATGAGTTATATTCAAGACTATTTACAGGTTAATTAACTTCTTTGCATATTGGTTACTTAGTCTGTAGAATGCAATATTAGTTCATAAACACTGTGGAGGTGGTCAGATAGTATCATAGTCTTTCGTAAGATTGTAAAGTAAAAACAGAGGTAATTTCAGCATCTCTGGCACAGCTGTTTCTATTCCTTGAGTCTTAAGTGACCCTCTCTCAAGAGGTACTACAGGATGGAATGTTTAGGTCGGTTTCATTGCAAAGCTGAAGTTGAATTTGTGTGCCAAGATCTCTTACATCTTTTATCTGTTTACATCTGTGTCTTTAAACATGCACTGAAATCTTTCAGACGGATCCAAAGAGAGGAATCTTGTCTACTCTTACAGAAATCATTCTGAAAACACAAGTCCTACAGCAGTGCTATTCTTTCTTCAGGGATTGATACCTAACTTTTGGAAAAGGTGTAGACTGAATCAGTTTATACTGTAAGAACAGTATATTCTTTATTTTTCTTTATTGAGAAGTGGAAAATACATGCCATTAGTTTATGTTGTTGAATGTAATATTTATATGTATTGACTAAATCAGGAGTGATTGACTTCTGTTTGCTTTGTAGCATGTGCTGTATGCAGTTGCAGAAACCAAGATAGGAAATGTTAATTTCTGAAACTGTAGTAAAGTAATGTAGATTCTTTGGTTCAAATAATTTGTTTTGCATATCTTAGGAAAGAAATTTAATGTCTACATGTGAAGAACAAATTCACAGTTTTCTGGACACTTTGCAAAATGCTTGATGAAGCTTAGGCTGGAGTAGCCACAGTCTAGTTAAAGAGATATATATTTGTATACACACACACTGTTTAGATTGTGCATTGCTGTCACATTATAAAGCATTATGCCAGTTTTAATTCTATGATTTGCAACTTTCTTGGCTGCCAAGAGGCTGTTTGAAAAATCTTTAGGAAAGAGGCTGTAAATATGTCATTACAAAACAAATCACAGGCTCTCACACCCTCAAGGCTTCAGCTGAAATGAGCAAGCACTTATAAGATGGTTCTTTGTAAAATAAATTCATCTGTGACACTTAAATATGACAACTTTGATTACTTGGAGGTTAGAAAAAATACTTTGTTTTAATTTCCCTATGACATGAGCCACTTAAACACTTTGAGAAAGACAAGAACATGCTATTGAAGATTTTTTCTTTTTATGGTAGATACTGTAGTGGCAGATGCTGAAGCTAGAACTGGAGATGCTCTGAAGCTTAAAAAGCAGAGTCTCTGCAGTGTAAGTGCCCTTGAGGTAGAATTGTAAGAGTCGTTTCTCCTCTATGTAGTGGGTACAGAAAGGTGTATGTATTGCTCAATTCCTGTGTAGACAAGTGAAAACTGAGGGGCACCAGTTGGTTTACGCCTTCTTAATTTCTTCTGGTGTTTTGTGCATGTGTTTCAGTAACTCTGATATATGTACAAAGCTCCTGTAAGTACAAACCAGAATAAAATCCTGTGCATTATAACATAAACAGTAAATGTGCTATTGCCAAGTTTTTCCATAAGAGGAAGATATATAATTATTGCAGTGTTTACTACAGAAGATACCAAGAATGAGGTTAAAATGTTAATTTGTGTTTAAAATAACAACTTTTCTTAATTGATGTTTACAGTTTTTACACTACGTGAGCATATGCTCTCAGTCCATCCTTAGTTTCATGTACAAGATTATAAATGCTGTAAAGCAATGATTTGTGGATCTTCAGGTGTTGAACACAGTATAGAGAGGAAAATAAATTGTTTCCTTCAGTTCTGTAACCTGAATACTTAGACCCATCACTTGCTTTGTTTTGTCTAACAACTCCTGCTACCTCCAGTGGATGAAAAGTAAGTTTTTCCACATTTTCATCATATATAATTTGAGCAGGATACTGATATTTAAAGGTGATGTGTTATGACTCTTGAGAATTGAGTTGTCAATCAGATACCTGGCTGCTTGCTTTGTGAGGACATCAGATACCAAAAAACCCACAACTACTGTATTTTTTTGATACAAAAATGTATGTGTAAGAACCTGTATTGCTTGCTTAGAAAAACTACTGATTCTCTTAATTCTGTTACAGCTTTACTCTTGGAAGCTCAGTCAACACCGTTTCAAATAACTCCTTCAACCATGGCAAATATTGTGAAAGGCCTATATACACTACGACCAGGTAAAGGGAATGATGTTTGTACTGGTCTCATATTGTGTTTGTGATGTGTTCCTAGATAATGTGTTTTCCCAAATGCCTATACTCTCTAATGCACAAGTAACAAACAACTGTGTGTTGTGTTCTGTCCATCATAATGCTTAGTTCTACCCTGGTTCTCATGGCCCATCTGTGACCTGCACAAGGTACCATGTGGGTCCCAAATTGATTTAAAAAAAAACAACCTAACCCTCCTCTCTAGAGGCAAAGCGAAGATCTGTTTGTTCTTCTCTGTAGAAATAAGGAAAGAAGGCTGTTAATGAGTGAAGCATGGCAGAAGTTTAGAGGTGTCAGGATGGTGAAAGGTAGTTCAAGTTGCACTTTGAACAGTCTGGTCTTTGGCATGAGATGAATGACTGTTTCTTCCATGAAGCCATTGCTTGGTTGGTAATATTTCATGGAAAGGCTTAATTTAGCTTGTGAACACATCATGACATCTTATGCAACAACAATTCTATTGAAAGGAAAATGGTGTTGCAGATTTTAATCCATTTTGCACCAAAACCTTTGATTCTCCAAGTTTTGGAGAACTGAGCAGAGCTTTATTCTGTTTTTGAGAAGTTTTAGAAACAGAAAGTGCTCAAAATATCCATAAATAAATGGTACTGCTTTCCTTCCTTTTGCTGTACTGATAGTTCTTCTCACCTTGGTGTGACTGAGAGAATGATTGTGTCTGAGCTTCAGTCTATTTTTGCTTTGCAGTCCCCATGTGTGGAAATAGGAGTGAGGATGGGAAGTTTTAGTGCAATATTTAGCATGTATACAAGCCAGGAATGTGCTGGATCCTCCATGGACAAACTGCATGGGTAAAGCACATTCAGTAAACAAGGATTATTTTTACAACAGCAAAATTCACATCCTGCCTTCGTTTTTAAGGCAGTGCTAATTTCATTTGCAGAAACTGCTCAGGGCCCAAGAAAGGAAGGGTGTTTGCAAAAGTATAAAGGCATCATTGTTTTGAAAGCAGCTCAGTGAGGTTTTTCCTTGACCACACTTAATATTACAGGTGATGGACTTGTGATTTCCCAGTTTTTTGTTTCAGATGATCCTTGTCTTGCTGTCTACTGCACAGCACAACAGATAATTGTTTGGGTTGGTATTCTAGGCCTAATCAGATTTTGAATAGTTGTCTTATCTGTAAGATATGTAAGTATGAAGATTATTCCTACAATTTGTTACCTGCTTCCAGCAGCTGGGCAGGATGACCCAGGTGATTGACTTTACAGATTTGCTCTAGTTACCTGCTTCTCAAACTTCTCAGCCTTTGAGAAAATGAGAAGCTTTAATGACATTCCAAGCAGAAGAGCCCAGGATAGAGCTGTTGATGTAAAAGGCTGTTCCGTGGTGGTGCTAGTTGTTGAGGATGAGTTCTGAAACAGTCAGGGCAAGGTTCCCTGAGGCAGTGCTGCTCACTTTTCCTGTGGGACATGCCCTATTGGATGTACCATGGGACTGGCCAGCAGATAGCTGGGGAAGTAAAGCAGCAAATGGGGCCAGTGGTAGGTCAGAGCAGTGCTCAGAACCATCTATCAGCAGTGCAGAGAGCAAAAGGAGGAGCGATGCTGGTGTAGCTGGTGGCCATGGACTCTCTCTTCTCTCTCCCTGGTTTTAATTTCTCTGCAAGTTCAAAGTACTTGACAGCTGTCAGACTTCAGATGTTGCCAGAAAAGGCTCTAATTCTATCTCATTACTGTGGCCAGTCCTTTTTAATAACTGTCAATGATCTCAATGAGGAGACCAGGTGCTCCCTCAGTAGGTTGGCAGACAATGCCAAGTTGGGCAAGAGTGTGGGAATGGGCTAAAAACTTGTGGTGTACCTTAGTGAATAAATTTGAGAGCATCCCTTTATTCTAAGTAAATATTAAATTTAAGATAACTGCTACAACCTGTGGGAAGTCTGGGTGCAGAAATGCTTGAGGGCTATTTATTTTTCTCAGAACTTGTTAGACAGTTGCTGTCTGACAGAAACCCCAATTTTCATCCTTTGCTCAGTCTTTTCTGTGTTTCTTGTAATCAGCCTTGAAGCAGTTTTAAGGTAAACTCCTCTTGAAAACATAAATATAAAAATAAATTGATCCTGCAAGGCAGTGTTCAGTGTGGTGAAATGAAATCACATTTCTGCCCTGCAGCTGAACTATTGCAGGTTAGAATTGTATAATGAACATTAAAATCGTGTTCATCTCAGCTTTGGAAGATCAGTGAGAGAAATGCATTAATTCATTTGAATGGGGGACAGGGAAGCAAGGATTGTATGGTGGTGCTACTGTGCTTTCTAGAAGTAAGGCCCAGGGAACAGAGTTTGAGGGAATAAATTTCCTGGAGTAAAGTGTTACAAATGATTGTCTGATTATCAAGGTGATCATCAGTTGCCTGTCCTTCAGAGTGTCCAGTGACTCAGCAGGTCTTGTGACATGCAGCAGGAACTGAATTTCAATTTGATGATGAGGTTGATGATGGAAAAATTCCTTTTTCTATGTGTAAACATCTGACTTTAGCAGTCTGGTTATTTGTTCTGTTTTAAGACGTGATTTCTGTGGATTTTTGGGATGGTTTGGGGTTTTTCTTTCTTTCTTTCTTTCGTTTTTTTGATTCAGGATCCCAATATAGTAAGTTAACATTTGTCAAAGAGTGAAATTTGTACAGAATCTCTCTTCCTTGTATTATGTTGTTGTTTTCCCTCTTCTTGCAGAATGGGTACAGATGGCACCAGCTTTATTTTCTAAGTTCATCCCAAATATTCTTCCCCCTGCTGTGGAATCTGAGCTTCAGGAATATGCTGCTCAAGACCAGAAACTTCAAAGAGAGCTTATTCAGAATGGATTTACTAGGTAATAATTACTACTTTTCAGTAGCAATTGTGCTGGACAGTGCTGAAGTGATGAAAATGGATACACCTAAAAATATTGAATAAATAATTTAAGAGTTCAGATCCTGACTTATGATTTTGTTTTCTTAAATATGGCCTTGTTTGTTCTGTTTTGAGCACTAACAACCCTGCATATGGTACCAAAAATAGAGGATTGGAAGGCTTCAATTATTTTGATGGAACAGATTTGTTTTCAGTTCATGCACCCATTTGTTTTGGTTGTGCTTCTCCTTCATGGTCGTGTTCTTGTTCAACTTCAACCTTTACTTTGGCTGTTTATTTTCTATAAGCTCTCTTTTATGGTGATGCTTCTGAAAATGTCAGTTGATTTCTCCTTATTCCTCTTTCAGAGTTACTTATACAGTCAAGGTGTTTATTTTGAACAGACAAATGTGAACACTCAAATGAGTTGGGGAGTGAAGGGGGGAAAGGACGAACAGTAATAGAGACAACAGAAGATGTTTATACTGTGTGTTGTTCACTCTGGGCAGTGCCTGTTGCTCTGCTGTTCTGTTTAGCAACCCAGACAGAGGCACAGTCCTTTCACCTCAGCAGTGTTCATCTTCTGCAGCAGTCTGACAATCTGAGATCAGGCTGGGGGAGCATCATGCTCTGTTCCCAAGAAGATTGTTTCTTCATGAGGGGAACACATCTTCACCTTTCCTGTAATCTGTGCAAAGCTGAGAGTCTGATCCTGTAGTCTGAACACCCACTAGATGTGGGTATGGTTAGTGGTAGATGTACTTCTGGATTCCATGCTCCATAGTTGTCCTCAAAGGTAATCTCTGTCTTCAAAGCCTGGTCAATTATTGAGCTTCACAGCTCTACTATTGACCCAAATGCAAATGGTATGGCAGACTCTCTTCTTGTAAGGCTTTTTGTTGAGGCAAAGAACTTTTTTGAGAGAGATGCATAAAAGTAAAGCCCTAAGAGCTTGGGCTGGGAAAAGCAGTGCATTTGGCCCAAGAAATAGAAGATTGAGACTTTGAAACTGAGTAGGCTTATAATGCTGACAAGAGAATGTAATGCAGACAACAAAACAAAAAAGGAACAATTTAGTTTTGTCTAACTTTCAGTCTTACTAATTCTGTAGGTGGCCAATAATAGTTCTGCTTACAAGTGCATTTCACCAGTTTCACAAATCTTAGAGAGTGAAAAGTGAAGTTTCAAGTAGTTACAGTCTATATCCACAAAAACAATTTGTTTCAGAATGTTTTTTCTTAGTTAACTGAAAATAAGAGAGGTTTGTTAGCTTGGCTGTGATGTTCTTTGGCTGGGTCTGTAAGGGGACTATAAAAGGCTGGGGGGGGGGGGGGGACACTGAGCATTGCAAAGACTAATTGCCTGTGTGATCCCGTCTCTTTAGAGACTTTTTGGGATCCAAGGAATATATTTTAGCAACTCCTGTTTTATGCAGAAAAGTAATTCTCTGGCACTGTAACTAATGCAGATCTGTAGGAAACAGTTTCTGTCCTGTGTGATATACAGGGCCAAAGAAGAGATTTAGGGCTTGATAGGAATAGTCATACAAGCCGAAGTAAAGGTTTCTGTGTCACACATTGTTTGCAGAGTCCAAGTTCTAACTCTTCCTTTTGGCTTTCTGCAGTATGGGGTCTTCTGGGTATTGGACATGTGGAGAGTTTTGGTGTGCCCTGTAGGTTTAGAAAACTGTCCCACCGTAGCTCATGCTTTTGTGCAGCTGCTGTTTCTATGTAGCTTGTTTTCGGTTTATGAAATAAAAATGCAAACTAAAACTTTGCAGAGGAATAACTGGTGGATGGCATTTAGTCTCTGATGAGTGTGTTTTGTACAGTCTGTTTTATATGGTTGTGCTATCAGTGAGTCAGTGCAGTCTGGTGAATATGGAGGTTGTACAAAGTGTTAGGGTCAAGTCTCCTCGTTAAAGGGACACAAGTAAAGGAAAACTGAATTACAGGTAATGTATTTGCTACATGGCATTTTGCAGTGGTATTTGAAATGCATTTTGGCTTGAAATGTATTTCAAGATGTAATATGCTTCTTCCTGTGTTATGAACATAGGTTATGTTTATTTATGACTTCTCAGAATTCTTCTGAGGCTGTATTCCCACACAGATGTATAAAAATGTTGTTTGTTTCTTTCATCAAGTAGCATGCCAAGTCTGTTCTCTTCTGAGTTACTATGAAATATCTTCTTTTCTCCTTTAATTGTTCCAAAAAGTGGTGGTGTCGTTGCTGCTGCATTTCTGACAACAATAACCATGAGGAACACAGTGCAGTGAGGTGTCTTCAGCAGCATCACTGGCATGTCAGGCTCCTGTTTTAACTACTAAAATTTTCAGCTTAAAGCACAGATGTTGTCAGCTCAGACTTGCCTAGAGGCTGATTGTTGTGCTTTTAGGAGCATCTTACCTTTTCAGACTGATAGGTGCAGAGTTTTTCATGTAGTTCTGTGAAGTTTGGTGGAGGAGTTTGAACTGAGGAAAACAATTTTATGCATGACTTAAGACCATGCTGCATATGAGCAATTTTCCTCTTCTTCATTTTGTAAGAAATTATCCTGTGATATCAAGCCTTCTGTCTGTAACAGAAGGATCAGCTAATTAAATCTAGAAAATACAGCTTATACAGTTTTAGTAAATTGAGAATCCTGCAGTTGTGTTATTGTGACTAGTTTGCATTTTGTTTCTAAATCTCTAGAAGGTGGTGATTGTGCTGAGGTATTTCACAGTTTTGAAGATTGTGGAGTGGTTTGGTGTGGTAGTGACCTTTGAAGGTCCAAGCTCCCTGCAATGGGCAGGGACGTCTTTAATGCAGGTTATCATGAATTTACCTTTGTTTCCCTTCTTTCCCAGAGGTGACCAGTCACGCAAGAGAGCTGGAGAAGAGTTAACTTACAGTAAGTATGCATCTAACTCTGCTCTCCAGCATGCTGCAGGCCCTGACAGGGTGGGCATACAGGTAGTGGTGAACTTCTGGGTTCTCAGGGTGGTGAGCTCTCAGGGGCTGCATCACCACATGTAGCTAGTGTCTGCAGTGTAACCTTTACCTTGCCAAGCAATAATGCAAATTTCTTGGATCTAGAGCCTGACTAACTCTGCTGGAGTCCCACAGCCACTGTCCTAGATACTGAGGCCAGGGTACTTGCACTTCATTTAAGTGGAAGCTGAGGTCTTGAGGAAAAAGAATGTAGTTTTTCCTGAGTCTCTGCCTGGTCAGGACACACATAACAGGCAACGTTATGAACCAGTTCACCTCTGATATAAATCATCTCCTGGTGATGTGTGTTTCTGTCTCTTGACAGAACTGAGCGATTGCTGGGGTTCTGCTTTACAATTTGGGGTCCTCAGAGGTGTGTCTGATACAGCCCAGGATCTTCCTGTGTGGAGTTAGTAAGGCAGGAGTTGGCTACAAATGTTTGAGTCATGCAGCATGGAAGTTTTCAGTTTGTGGCTGAAGTCTCTTGCTGCATGGTTAATTGTGAGGTTCTTTACTTGTTCCCTTCATTTCCCCCAGTGTAGGGCAAGAGACACAGGGATGAATGATGTTCCATTCTCGGGTGGTTGATCTCCTCTGGGCAACCCTAATTTGAGTGCAGTCAGTCAAAGGTCTCATCTTCTGTGCTGACTTTGGCCAGGAAAGACTGTAGGTCCCATACAGTCTAGGTTAGGAGTGAAGTACAAGGCCCTGATTGTCTTTAGGGGGACTGGGGAATAGTACCTGTTCTGGTACTGTTGTTAACTTCATTTTATTGCATTATTTCCACCAAGTTTGCTCACATGCTTTCAGCTGAGTATGCTTGCTCTATTTCCTACCATAAAATGTCACACAGTTTTATGCTGAACTCTTATTGTAAACTGAAATGAAGGAATGAATGTTTACATGGTATATCACCTTCTGTTTAAACTGTTCATGTTTCACAGGCAGTACTGTTTTTGGGGGAGGGCAGGGACATAATTTGGAAGTTTAATGTGAAAGCATTTCTTGAACTTTTTATATCATTTCAGATGGCTCATCAGCTTGTGCAAGTTCCAGGGGGTACAGATAGTGAATATACTGGATCAGCTTCTATTCCTAGCCAGAACAGACACTGGAGGAGCACAGATGGTATCTGGAGCCTCCTTTGGCAACTGCTGATACTCAAGCTCTGACACGAACTATGCCTCGAAGAAGAGTTTTGGACTTTCTTCTTTATGTAATGAAATGTCAGTTGCTGCTACAGTTGGGATGACTTTGAAAGACATGATTTCTTGGTCTAGCCTATCAAAAAGCTCTGCGATTTTTATGAGTAATGCACCTTGAAAAACAATCCTTTCAAAGTGGAAATGAGCAGCCGAAAGCAGCAGCTTCCAAAAGTGATAGAATGGAAGAATCCTTTTTGCACTCTTTTCTTAATATTAAGGACATTCTTAAAACTAGTTAACACATCAGTGTATTAGTTTTTGAACTTCAAGTTATTTTCTGGAGCTTCTACTTAAATAATAAGAATAAAGTTTCATTATTTTGCAGTATTTGTTTGTTAGTTTAAAAATTGTCACATTTTAAGAGTTGGTCCCGTATAAATGTATCTTCTGTCAGGGAGGTTTAAATTTCAGATTTTTTTCTTTTATCTCTTTTTGTTACTTGGTATTTTGAAATCTGTTTTCCTATGTGTTTGTACTCTGTGCCTTCAGCTTGTGCACTTTGCGACTTTATAGACCATATTTTGTGACTGCAAAATGTGTTCTTGAGGGAAAACTTGATGTGAACAAACATGCTGCAAAGTTGCACTTTTCTCTTGCATTAGTGGGAAGTGAGTTTAAGGAGGAAGGAAGAGAAGTTGAACCTATCACCATCACTTAGAGTGACTTGGAAGTTTGTCCCCTTTTATTGTTCATATGTATTAGTGTTTAATGCAGGGACCAACTCTTGTAGAAACCCCCTCATTGGCTTCAGGAGTTGGACTTGATCCTTGTGGGTTCTTTCCAACTCAGAATATTCTGTGACTTTATGATTCCATAATCGCAATAGATTGAGATGGGATATCCAGACTGAAGGAAGTACTGAGATGTACTTTATGCTGTGCTATGTTAGAAACATTGTGGGCAAAATTCTCCAGTCTGGTAGGTGTGCAAAGTGCATCTCCATCAGCACAAGGTTTGCACTGGGTTGATCAGCGAACAACGGTACCTGTCCAGGATCACTTTGTGGCTCCTGTGCCACTTCTCCTGTCTGGGGGATGTGACAGGAGTGTGATAGTGGATGTAGTCAGAAACAGGGATTTAAGGAGTGATGTAACATGTGCACATGTACCCATTGACCTCCTGCTTCCAGTCTTGTGTGAGCTCAGCTGGAGACTCAGCTGAGCTGAATTCCAGGAGATCTAGGCCTATGGTCTAAGTCCTAATCATTGTGATGTGGGTTTTATTCAGTAGTATGGCTAATGCAGCTCTTTTATGAGGGGAGAAACATACTTGAAAAAGCAGTTTGACTACAGGGTTTGGTTTTTTTCATTTCTATGGATTTATTTTTTATCGCCTTTAGTTCTGAAGAGAAATGAGTTGGTAATATAAAATCTTTCTTGAAGTGAAATAAAAGTTCAGTTTTGTCTGGCACAGCTCTTACGCCTGTTTTGAAATAAGAACACAAAATCAATACAACGTCTTTTATGCTTGCATGAGTTCATTACAGAATGCAGGAAAAGAGAAAAAAATAGATACGGCAGGGACGAAGTTTCCTTGTGTTTTGTATCCAAGCTTTGTGGAAGTGGTTTTGATTCCATCAGTGTCACATCAGCCACTTTGGCAATGCTGTTAATTTGGAGGGAGGGTAGAGGGTGACACTGCTGGGATTGATGGATTCAAAGCTGTATAGTTCTTTGCAAATCCTGTTTAATTTTGAGGAAGTTTTTCTTTTAAAATTAAAAGCAAATATGTTAGTATTTTGTTTTCTATGTGGAACAATGCCAGATCTCATCCTCAGTAGTGGAAAGCCAAACCACTCTGGGTAGAGGATTTCAGGTATTGACAGTGTTTTCTTCAACTTTGCTACCAGCTACCCAAGTTGGAGCAGAATTAGATAAAAGCAGGGGGGGATGAAAATTTTGCTGAAGTATGGCATGGAGAAGTTAGTGAAGGCTAATAGGAACAAAAATGATTTGCCAGCTTCCAGGTTTTTATCAGTTTTGGCTTTAAACAAAAATGAAACCTCTGATAGTGTCCTTAGCTTTAAAAATCACTTTGTTGAAATGGCAATATTCTTGAGATAAGAATAGATGCATTAACCTAATTTGGTTAAAGTTTGTTTACAACACAATTACCATCCTAGTTCACGTAATACAGTAACCAAGCTCTGTCATCTTTGTCAAGTGATCACAGTTTTTCTCCGTTCCTCAAGTGGTTTCACTGGTTCAGGTTTGTAGGTAACATGTTTTTGCTTCATGTTTGAGGCAAGGGTTCAGCATTTGTTTTACACTGCATTATGTTTGGGACACAAACTTCTAGAACAATAATTCCATGGAAAGGTAAAGCATTCCTGTCAGTGTGAGCCACTTCATATGCACTGAGTAGTGCTTGGATGCTTCTCAGTCCTGTGTACATTCTCACCATTGGCCACTGAACCTGAGAAATCTGTTTGTTAAGCACTGTATTATGTTGTAAATTTGGCATTACAATTCCTGTACGTTTTGGCATTAGTAACATAATGCTGAAATACTGTTTATCTGTTGAAGACATTATCATTGTGACTGAGCATGGAACAGAATACAGCCTACTATACTAAATTATTTTGTTTCTCTGTAAACTTGCATTTTACTTACAGTAAAACTAACTCAGTCAACTTGAGCATTGGTACTGTAAAGCCACAATTACCAACAGCATGATCCTAAGTGCAGTATTTAATTTAACCAAATAACTTGTGGTGAATCCGTTGCATCTGTAGCTTACTCTGTTAAGATTAAGCAGTAAAGTTGGTTATACAATGGGTGTCCTCTCTATGTTGCACTGGTTCTATAGCCAAACTTGCTACATTAAAGTATTTTTAGATTAATTTCATTTCTTGATCTGAGAAGTTGGAATGTTTAAACTGCAGATTTGGGGAAGTGTTTACAGATTAATACATTGAAGAAGAAGTTATTGGCTCCTGTCGTTTTATAGAAATAAGGTCAGCCAAGTTCATCCCTTTTAATTTTTCCCTGACATGATTCTTTAAATTCTACAGGTTAAAAAGCCAAACAAAATCCCCAAAAACTACAAAAGCCATGTTTTGAGTGACTGAAAAATGTTGTTCATGTACATTATGACCACCCTAGTGAAAGGACTGTTCTGTAGAACTATGGAATAAAAACCAACTGCTTGAATTTGACTCCTGCCATCAACCCAGCTCCAGGAGAGAGAAAACAAATATCGGGGGGTGGGGGGGGGGGTTTGATGCCTGGACATGCACAGTGTATCCAGGGAGCACTTAGTTCAGCTTACACTGTGGACCTTTAACATCAGTTGACTGCAAACAGAAGGTACTGCTCGGGAGTCAGGTCACTGCTTGGGTTAGTGTGTCTTTCCCTTTCTGCCCTGCTGGGACTGTGTGATAACAGTGCACAGTCATTGTGCTGATACACTCTAGTGGAAAATTCCTCTTTCCTGGGTTATCTTGTGTTCACAACTCATTTAAACTTAAATTCACAGCTGAATACTGTATATAAGCTTGTTCCTGATAGCAGTGGAGTTTGCTGCCCTGAAGAGTTCCTTCTCTGCTCTTAGAGCACCTCCACTAGGAGCCTTTAAATGTGCATTAAATTGCTACATCCTCGTTCAGGTGTTTCCATGATGTAATACTGAGCTGCAAACTGCTCCCACCACTCTCACTGGGCAGGGGAATTGTAGGGGGGCAGGTTTTTGTTGTTGTCTCTCTGTCTGACCTAGGGGTCTGCAGGAACAGATACTTGTGCTGATAGGAGGTGCAACCTCCTCTGTGCTGTTCCTCCAGTGTGAGCAGGGGAGACTGCAGCCCTGCAGGTGCTTTGCTTGGCTGATGCATGTAGGACATGTCAGCACTGTAGCATGTGCTCGTGACCCATTATGCACATTCTCAGCACAAAGTCTGGTCTCAGTCTCTATTACAACTGTGAAAGGAAAGTGAGGTCTTGGTCCTGTTCCATCTTTTATTTCTAGGGAGAACAAAGGGAAATTTTCAGGTAGAGTCACATTTTCCCTTCTGGAGCTTTCTTGGGAAATATTCTTTGGCTGGTGGAGGAGGGGAATCTTTCCTCCAAGGAAAAGGGCTGTGGGTCACCTGTCTCTGATTTTTGTGTGCTGGTCTCCAAGCAATGTGGTACAAGACAGTCCATCACATTGAGTGCACTGTGCCTATAGCACCGCAAGGTTTTCATTCTGGATTTCATCTGGGATAAAAAAGGATCTTTTTGGTAAGCTTAGAATCTTCAGGTATTGGTAATTGTGGCATGCATGAACCAGGGGTGGACTTCCTCTGACAGGTGTCATTCTAGTAACTACAGGTCAGAGGAAGTTACTTTGTCCCAGAGGACTACTTAATATAGCACAAATCAGTGTGATATTGGCCCAACAAGATACTTTTATACCCATAACACCTGTAAACAGAAAAATGTTGGAAAATCTAAATGTCATCCTTATCAGCACTGAAATAGCCTGGTTTTGAATGGGGACCAGGGTCACATGCAAGGGGAAATCTTCCCTTGTGTCAGGGGGTGCAGAAGATCAGTGTTGCTGCATTAGCAAAACAAGACAAACTTGCTGGTTTTGGCCTCAGTTGAAAGCTCCTTGGCAAAGTGCTTTGTACTTTACTAGAGAGAGTGAGTGAAAGGATTAAACTAATATATCTTGAGCTAACTGGAATGACTGGTTTAAGGGGATTCCAAAATTTCATAGGCAATGAGTATTCAGAAATCCCTTCTGGCTGTCTCTGTCTGTCTCTGGAATGCTCCAGATACACTTGGTTAATGTTCTTCTTTCTGTGCTTCTGCTAACTGACCTAATTAGCACAGAACAGGAATGTTGACTCCTGTAATGATGACAATAGAATGAATTTAGTAATAGTACTTATTGCCTCATTAGTATTGTTTTTCAACTAATTGTTCCTTAAGCAAAACTGTTACAGTTTCTACCATGACCTGAGTCATCACCGGTTTCTATTAGAGTTATTACTCCTGATCTGCACCATTTGCCATCTGTCAGCAAATTAGATGATTTTGTACAGAGAACAGTTCATAAATTAATACCATAGGATGGTGGGTAGGTGCTGCCCTGTGGGTGATGTGCATTGCCAGGGGGAGAGCACCTATCAAAGTACAGGATGGACAGGTCTGAGGGCACTGCTGAAGAGCTGAGGTGCTCCATCAGGTCACACTGTCCTGTAGAAACATACAGTGACCACGAAGGGCATTGCACTGTGAGCATACAATCACTGTGGGATAGCTGATGGACTGTAAATTCACATCTTATCTTCACAGTTGCCTGTTCCTGTGGCAGGAATGGCTGAGCAGTGACTTACTACT